TATGAGGTCTGTTGTGCCCTCTAGAAGTGCGGAGAAAGTTCAAATCAAAAATTAGTGAAAGTGTATATTAAGGGAAACCCCCATTCTCGATTTTTTATTTTTAAGATTTTAAATGGGCTGGTAAATGAATGTTAAGGTTTGTAACTTTGCACACATATATTTGAAGATTTAAAAAGGAAGAAAAATAATTTTCAAAAAACTTTTCTTGTTGTTTTTTGTGATTAAGGAAAAGTCCTTATTTTTGATGGCGGGCATGATAACTCCTCACTGGAACATCGGAATCCTAAAATTCCAACGGTGTTAGAAAGAGTACATGTCCGGCTCTCGTATGTACTAGGATTATTGACTTCGCTCTAAAATTAACAAAATGGCGGACGTTTGAAAAAATATTTTTGGAAAATCGCCGATTTTTGAAGTTAAAAAATAAGGAGCACCTTCGCCGATTGGCTTTATCCTAGTTCATACTATAGCTATAGGCTTACAGAGAAACGTGGAAAAAATTGGAATCGATTGGGTTATTAGTTTTTGAGTTATCGTGCCCGCCATTCGCAAAAGAGAAAAACGCGTTTAAAGTTTGAGAAGCCCTTTAGCCGATGCTGACACAATAAATCGGCTATATCTTCAAGAGTTCTTGAGATTTTCATTTGAAATTTTGTAAGCACATTCTATAATTAGTGTAGATTTTAATTAAATCAAAAAATGTTTTGAACCCGAGAATGGGGGAGGGGGTGGGTCCCCTTAATAAAGAAAGACTCACTATGAATCTACGAATTCTGTGTTTTTTTTCGAACTCCTTCAATCTTTTTCATTCACACCCCCTCAGATCGCTTAGTCCGTGAAGAGTGTCATTTCCCAAGAATTGGCTCAGGAAATATTCCAGTGTTTCACTGTCTTCCCCACACGCTCTGCACTCGTTACTTCCTTCGCATCCCATCTTGAGTAGATGTGCCTTCAGGCCCAGGTGCCCCGTCAGAATACCCGTCAATCGGATTATTTCTTTTTTGTTTAGCGTTATGATTTGCTTAGTTTTGTCTGCACTTGGGTCGCCCCATAAGATGTTGGAGATTTTTCCTGTCCCTCATTATACTCTACACAACTATGTTGTCAGGGTATTATAGCTTTGTGTTTGTAACGCCGCGAAATATTGGTCCTAGACCCAACTTTAAGTATACCGATCGTCATATCTCGACTAGCTGAGTCGATCTAGACATGTGTGTCCGTCCGTCTGTTCATTATAATTTGTAAACACGATACAGGCCACAGTTATGGACCAATCTTCACGAAATTTTGCATGTAGGATGGGTTCTGGCCAATGAAGACCCCTATTGTTTTTGGAAAAGATCGGTTCATATTTAGGGGATGAAATGGACCAAAAACTTTATTCTTGTCGGTTTTTCTGGTCACTCCAGAGGCCGCAATTATGGCCCAAACACCTCGAATTTTTGCACGGAGAAGGGGATCGGGCCAAAGAATAAGTATGCCTGTTTTGATAAAGATCGTCAATTTTTAGCAAATATCGCGAAATATTGCCCAAGCTCAGAATATAGAACCACAGAAAGTTATAGTTTCGTGGAAGTTGTGTAGGGTATCATATGGTCGGCCCCGTCCGACTATACTGCTCCGCTCAATAGTTATCCCAAAGGGTTTTGTGGGTCTCATGTGCCCATTCCCTCATTTCTTCGCGTGTTTCGCTAAAGGGTTTGGCGGTATACACCTCTATTGTGAGTTATGCAGTGGCACTCCTGGCTAGTTGATTTGCGATCTCTTTGCCTATGATTCCTAGGTGACCCGGTACCCATATAATTCGTACAGGTCCTTGTTGTTAGAAATCATTAATGGTATTTATACATTCCAGTACAGTTTTGGAAGTTATTGCCTTTATAGCTTGCTTGCTGTCCGTTATAATATTAATTGTATTTTGTCCTTGGTTTGAAATTAATCAGTTAAGACACTCTGTTATAGCTTGGACCTCCGCCTGTAAGATCATGCTGTGATCTGTAAGACAAAGAGAAATTTCGGTAGCCGGTTCTTCGATAAAAAGTCCCAGTGCAGTTTTTCCTCCTAGTCGAGAGCCATATGTGTAGCAAGTGTAGTTGCCAGGCGGCATCTGAACTAGTGTTCCGCTATTCCATTGTTCTCTATCTGGTATTATAGTTTCGCATCGTGTCACTACTCTCGTTTCAGGTATACGGTCTGAAACAAAGTTATTGAACGTCGACTCAGTAGTTGCCTGTAAAATGTTCCTGTGCGGTGTGTTGTGTCCGGTTTTGTTTTGGAAGATGGGCTGACCTATTTTTGAATTTCTAGTGAAAAGACATATCTCCGTTTTGTCCGGATTTACGTTTAAGCCCCTTGATTTTGCCCAATCGTATGCGATTTTTAGCACCGTTTCGGCATTCCTGCATAGTAAGTTTGGATTCTTTCCCACTAGAAGTATTATAACGTCATCTGCATAACAGACTGGTTCAAATTTTCAAGGACTAACACAAGGTATGAATTTAAAAATATTTTTGTCAAGGACTAGCACAATGGTGGATTTGTAAAAATATATTTTTAAGGACTACGAATTTAGAGGATTTCACAAGGCGTGGTTTTTTTTAGAGAAATATTTTTTAAAGGACTGATTCAAGGTGTGGATTTTTGAAAAGGAATATTTTTTTCTTTACTAGGCTTGGATTTTATAAAAGAAATAATAAATTAAAGATATTATAAATGTCCATGTAGCGTATACATGATGGCATAACTTATACGCCACATAAGCCACTTTACATTTTTTTTTTAAATGACAAATGTACAAATATATACATATGTACATATTTTTAATTTTCTTTTTTATTTTTAAAAAATATTCGACAAAAAATTGCCTTCATTTCAATTCTCAACTCTCAAAATCCGCCATGAACGAAATTGAACGCAAGAAAAGTTATCGTCAACATCGTTTACGCATACAAAATGCCACCAGTTTGGTCAATAGCCAGGCACCATCCCGACAAACCGCCAATCCTAGGGAACAAAGAAAATTAACGTTCCTGGAAATGATGACGGCTCTGTATCAGAAAGGAAATTCAAGGACATTTACACAAACCCCGTTGGCAGTAATGGGACATGCCAAAAGTTGTTGTCCTTTAAAAATCGATAACAAACAATTATCCAAACGCGACATGCACTCATCGTGTTTATCTTTGGATCATGATGGTAAGAAGCGAAAATCTAAAGAATGCATGGAACATATGGACAAGAGAAATAAACTCGCACCCGGCAATATACCCTATCACATTTGGCAACGTTATCGCCAGTTGCCATTCATTCGCACTCCCAGCATGCTAATGAAACTGCTAAGGCCTCAAATATTTCTAGAGTTGCAGTTGAGCAGTGGCCAAGCTTTGGGCCGCCTTGTCATACAGCTGTTCACCGAAGCCTGTCCGGAAATTGTTCTACAATTTGTACGCATCTGCTTGTCACAGCAGGCGGAACGTTTTAAATTCTCGCGCATCTTGTTGCACCTCTGGCTGGAGGGGGAACTGCATTTGATGGATAAGCATGCCCTGACCATGCCGAATATCGAACATGATCCGATGGCCATTAATCATGGCAGTGCTGCTGGTATTCTCTCGTTTCCCAGCCGGTATTTGCGTGGCAGTAAATTTCGTTTCATCAGCTTCAGTGTGAGTTTCAAGCCTATCGATGTGCTGAATGGCAAGCGGATTGCCTTTGGCAAGGTACGGCGGGGCCAACATGTGTTGCAGCAGCTGCAACAGAATTGTGAAACGGCCGACAATGGTAGGCCGTTGAAAGAAATTTATGTAACAACGTGTGGTGTTTTGTGAGTGAGCAAGTGACGGAGTGACTGAATGAATAAATTGAAATGCTGAGTAAAGAAGAGGAAGAAGTACAAGAGATAAAACAATAACAGCCGTTACATTTAAATATTTAAATATGCAAAAGAAGGAGAAGAAAAAATCGAACAGCATGGAATATTTCATATTGTAAACAAGACATATCCTTTTTGTATTCCAGGAAATAGGATATCTGTCAATATTCATCAGCAGTACAATGGACCAGATATGTAACAGACAGATGTGTCTGTGTGTGTGTGTATTTGTGTTTCACATAGCTTTTAATAAAATCAACTTCCATGAATTCCTGTTAAACTCATCGATATACATTCTTTAACACCCCTTTCGGCAATATCCATCCGCTGCCAAATGGTTATCACCTGCATTTTCCACCACCTAAGCGGATTCAAATAATGAAAATAAAAATTCTATGAAAATGGAAAATCCATTGGAATGAAAACTATTCCACTTTCCCTATATTTCTTTCTTTTTGTTTTGTTTTGAAATTCATATATTTTTAATTAATTCTTTTCTATGATTTCTATGTCAGGTTTTTGTCGGTAGAAGTTGGATTTTTTTTGTAAGAAATATGCATAGGGATTTTAAATAATAAAATATGTACATATAGAGGTCATAAGGGGCGTATAATTTATGTCAAAACTTATACGCCAACTGGTTCCTTGAAAGAATATTCTTGCGTTGGACTTGAAAAAATACTTTTTTTTTTAAACCAGGCCTTGTGTTGAACTTGCCTCGAAAAAATATTTTTTTTAAAAATCCACGCCTTGTGTGAACTTCAAAAAATATTTTTTAAACAATCCACGCCTTGTGTGAACTTCAAAAAATATTCTTTAAAAAATCCACGCCTTGTGTGAACTTCAAAAAATATTTTTTAAAAAAACCACGCCTTGTGTGAACTTCAAAAAATATTTTTTAAAAAAATCCACGCCTTGTGTGAACTTCAAAAAATATTTTTTAAAAAATCCATGCCTTGTGTAAACTTCAAAAATATTTTTTTTTTAATTTACGCCCTAAAAATATATTAATTATCTTCCCTGTGGCGTATGCATAGTGCCATTAGTTATACGCCATGGTGTCCTATTTAAAATACTTATTTTTTCATTTTCTATTTCTTGTTTTGTTTCTGTTCTTCCAGCATTTGCAATGGACTTGAAATCCGGTACATTATTGGTACCACCGGCTGTTAAAAACTCTAGTTGTTCACATCCCCGCTATACCAGCCATAATTTTCTGCAGCACGTTGGCATTGTTGAAACCGTTGAGGCAGTGCTAATACTCATACTGACGTTGGGTGTAATCGGAGCCAATGCCCTGGTGATATTTGTCATAAATAACAGACGCTATTCGCCCTATATACATCAGCAGGTAAACATACACAAACACACAGAGATTTTTCTTCTTCTTTTTATTGTTTTTTCGTTGTTTTTGTTATTTATTACAACAATCGACATTTGTTTTTTGGGTGGATTCGGGGTTTTTCACAGTTGAAAAAATTCAATTGAAATGAAATTTCGTTTTGTTTTTAGTTTTTGAGTTCAATTTGTCTGACTACTGACCAGCAGCTACTATGGCTGCTGCTTCTGCAGCTGCATTATAAATTCCATCCATTTATGCTCAATTTACTGACATGCTGTCCTATATTTTTTTTCTTTCTTTGTCTCTCCTTTTTTGTCTTTACCCTACTTTTGGATGTTTGTTTTTTTGTGCCTTACTTCCGGATAATGGTGATGATGATGGTGTCGTTGGCTGTTTGGATGCTGCATTTTGAAGCCCCGCTATTTGCTAACATCGCTGGCTCTGAATGACCTCACCATTGGTTTGCTTATCACACCATTTGGTTTATTGCCAGCATTGTTCCATTGCTGGCCTTATGGTGAAATCTTTTGCCAAATTCAGGTAAGTTCAGACACAAATCGATGCTATCGAAGTAATGAAATGTGGGCGGGTGTGTGAGAGAGAGAGAGAAAATCTTAGGGGGGAATGGAAATTTGTGATTTGATTAAGTGAGAGTCTGGTAAAAGGTTCCGATGTCCTTTTCCACGTACTAGAATCTAAGACATTTAATTTGTTTCCAATACTGATGGAAAGCCCGATTTAGATCCTTAGAATATTTACAACTATTGAGAACTCTCTTCAAATATTTGGGTCTTCTGTAAGCCTTTGATGCTGGACTATTTAATCTTATGGCCTCTTCAGAGACCTCAAAGACGCCCCAGAGGCCTTCGTGGTTTTATTGAGACTATGTTGCCTTCTCTGCGACTTTGTTGTCACTCCTGAGATCATCCTGATTTTTCGGAATCAACATTAAATCTCCTCATTTTAAATTGTTCGCCTAGTTCTATATGCAATTCCTTGATATCTTCTGGGGTACACGGTGGCGTATACATTGTGACAGTAGTTATACGCCATGGTGTTCTATTCAGAAATGTAATGAAATTTATAAGTTAAATATAGCTGACCTCTAGATCTTTTGTAAGTCTCTTTTGAGAAATATTGATGTCTTCCAAATAAAATTAAATATTTCGAATTTTAGAATATCTTCTGGGGTACACGATGGCGTATACATTGCGACAATACTTCTACGCCATGGTGTTCTATTCAGAAATTTTAATTTATAAGTTAAATACAGCTGACCTCAAAAATTTTTGTAGATTTCTTTTGAGAAATTTTTTATCTCCATCGCAAATAAAATTAAATATTTCGAATTTTCTCAAAACCACCCTAATAAAAAAAAACACATTCAACGAAAATTGTGTTAAAGTGCCAGTAATACGTAATTGTCAGGCTGCAGCTACTGCTTCTGCCTCTGCTATTTCATCGTCGACGCTTTTCCAATACTCTACACCATTTCGAAATTGGGTCAATTTGGACATTTATTGAATTGATACTGGAAAACCCAGGTACGGTACAGATGACCTGCAAAAACATGAAAAAAAAAACATTGTAAATTATTACACCATTCATAATAATTTCGTTAATATTATGTTGCATAAAAAATATGTTTTAATATTTTTTCATGTGTTCTGTGAAAAACTGGTGTGTGTAAAATTTAGTTATTTTGCGATTTGCATGAAAATATGCAAGGGTTTCCTGGTCATCGATGCTAAAATAATAGCAGAAATCGTCAGTAGTTAATTGGCGTATACGTTGTGTCAGCATGTATACGCCACGGTGTACTAAAAATTTTATTTTTTTTGCAGATGACGTTTAAAAATTCTTAGGAATGGAGAGCAATAACATTGTCTGAAGTCCATCTTAATTACGGGACTTCTACGGCGTATACGTTGTGGCAACATATAAATGTCATGAAGTACGGAAATAAAAACCTTTTGATTTTCAAGAACTTCAAACGTATCTGGACATCCACCAATATTTTTTCATATAACATTTTTCATATAACATAAATCGCAACTTTCGAAGTTCTCATGGCTACATTTTTTTTAAACAGCTACTAGTTTTCTCCTGATTAGGAGTGACACCCTATGGTCTGCTGTGAAAACTTTTAGGCATGTTCCTGGAAGATTTTATTTAATCTGTGGTCATCAGTCTATTAGGACAATTTTCTTACATTTGAATCCTTTATGGCGTATACCTTGTGCCAACATGTATACGCCATGAAGTACGAAACGAAAGCCTTTTGATTTTCACGAACTTTAAACGTATCTGGACATCCACTAATATTTTTACATACTACTGAGAAACATAAATCTCAATTTTAGAAGTTCTCAGGCTCTATGGCGTATACGTTGTGACAACATGTATACGCCATGAAGTACGGAACAAAAACCTTTTGATTTTCAAGAAATCTAAACGTATCTGAACATCGGTTATTAATATTTTTTCATACTACTGAGAAACATAAATCGCAACTTAAGAAGTTCGCATGGCTGCATTTATTAAGGTAGGCTATGGTAACAGCTTCTAGTTTTCTTCTGGTCCCGTGTGACTCCTTTTGGCAGCTTTAATACGTAGATTGTGACCTCTTTTCAACTTCTGGATCCTTCTGTATTAATACTGAACATCCTCTTTATCCATCGTGATTTTTCAGGCGTCCTATGAGACATTCTGATCTCCAATAAGACATTCTGGTTTACTTTCAGATCTTCACTGTAGTCTCATAGTGAGACTATAAATTTTCTGTGGAGATTTTCTATAATTTCCTATCCGTGGTACCTTTTGGTTCTTCTGAATTTCTATAAGTTCGCCAGGTCTTCCCAGAATTTTCTGGACGTTTTAGAGACCTTCTGATGAATTTGGGACCCTAAAGAGAATTGCATACTTCAGATCTTTAAGTATACCCCCTTATACGAAAGACCTTGTAATATCTTTCAATATCTCATGCTATTCTTTGAGATCTTCTGATCTCCACAGAGAAGTTTTATGAGTTCCTGTGAAACTTTCTCGCCTTCTTTGAAAATTGTTGGACTTTTTTTTAGAGACATAGAGAGATCTTATGACCTCTTTGAGACTTTCTAGACTTCTTCTAGAACTTTTAGTCAAATTTAAAGGCTTCTGGACTTCATTGTTATTTATGGTGTTCTTAGAGACCTTCTATTTTATGTAAGGTTTTCAGATTGTAGTATCTTTCAATCTACTATTCTTTTGATATATTCTGATAATATATGGGAAGTTTTCTATGTTTATGATATCTATCAGCCATCTTTAAGCTCAGGTCTACTCTGAGTCTTCTTAGGGACTTTTTTTATTCCATTAAGAGCTTTTGTTCTGCCTTGAAGCTTTTTCTGGCCTTTATATAGATCTTATGGCATAATTGAGATTTTCTAGTTTCCTTCCAGAACTTCTAGTCCCACTTGAAATTTGCTCTGATCTTCATTGTAACCTTTGTGTCTCTGTTGAAACCTCAGATCTATTTGTTTCCTTTAAGGTTTGTTTTTGTTGAAGATTTTTTATCTGCTTACAGACCTTCAAATTTCATTCTGGTTATTTTTTTAGAGGTCTTCAGATCTCCTTTTAGATCTTACAATACCAATTGAGTGTCAGATAATATTCATTGCAATCTTCTGGTACCTTTTATTGTCTTTATAGTTGGATAGTTTCGGTTCGAACTAGTACGGAAGACTATCCCACAAAAGAAGTCATCGTTACTAGGACCGAATCTTTCGTTAATGTAGTTCCTTTTGCTCCTGAGTTCCTTCTGACCCAATTGTTCATATAAATCGTCGTGTTACAATTGTATCAAAATGGAACTAAATGATTTTTTTTGCGGTGCGAACGGAAAAAGTTCGAAGCGCTTCTGGAAGGAGATTGTTCAATGTTAATGGTATTTTTTAATGTTTTTATATTCTATGAAATATCTTTCGATTTTCTATAGGTCTTTCCTGCCGCCTTTCTCTAGACAAATATTTTTATATGTTCTCAGAAACCGATTAGAATTTGTGAAAATGTTCTTTATGATACTTTTCGTACTGGTAGCATTCTGCTTTAAGTCGTCCAAATTCCTCCAAAACTGAATTTCTTCAGATTTATTTAATACAACAGGGTGGCGTATACATTGCGACAGTACTTATTCGCCCTGTGGTACCAGAAAGAAAAACCAAATTTTAAACAAACAAAATGTTTTGCTTTTCTCTGTTACAGGGTCTATTGCGCGGTGCATTGTCCCAACAAAGTGCCGTCATACTTGTGTGCATGGCCGTCGATCGATATATGTGTTCGTTGCATCCGCGCCGCTACTATCAACATTCAAGTAAAAAGGTAAGTTCAAGGAAAAATGAATCACACATTAAGGAGGAAATTGTTTGTTTTTTTCCTTTTTTTAAGACCCATACACCCTCTATATTATACAGCAATTAGTTGTTTAGTTGTCCTTGATTATTTCCCCCTTTCTTCTCAATGAAAATTGTAACATAAAATCTCTAAAAAATATGTTGTCTTTATTTTCTTATTTTATTTCGGAGAAACCTAAAACTTTGAACATCAACATGAAAATTAAAGCTTTAATATTCGGTTTGACATTGAACATAACATCGAAGAGGGTGCGGAGGACTTCGAGGAACTGCCAACAATTTTTTTCAAGCAGCTATTTTACACAGTTTAATGTTCTACTTTGAGATTTGTTTTTTTGGGCCGAGGGAGAGAAAGTTGGCTTTAAATGGTAGAATAAGTTAAAGGAAAGAAAAGGGAAGAAAGCAGAGGCGTAGGAAGGAAGGAGGGCTCCGAACAATATGAATGTATAACTTTGGCGCACAGGGTGCATTGTTATGATGTCAAATATTTTTTGAGTCAGGGATATGATTTTTTATACGATTTCTACTGATTTAATGTAATACGACTGGGTGGCGTATACATAGCGGCAACACTAATACGCTCTGGTATACCAAAAAATGAAAACCCTTTAAATTCAAGTGTAATTTTTGAAAACATTATCAAAATAGCTTAAAATATTTGAGGAATTATCACCTCCCCTTGGCTCTCAACCTACGCCCCTGAACCAATTTTTGAATCACAAAAAACTTCTCGAAAACTACTCTACAAGATAATGTAAACGATTTGAGTTGGTTATATTATGTTTGTTTGGTTTGCTGCTCCCTCTCATTTCTCTTCCTCTTTCCTTGGTTAGCTACGTTTTTGGCTTCCTTCTATGTTTTTTGGCTGCCCATTTTGGCAGGCTTCGACCAACAAACCCACTTAAGGATTTGTAGGGCAGCAAAAAAAAATGTCAGACAAAAATAACAATTACATCGAGTATTACAACAGCAATGAACTCAGTTGTGAAAGAGCGAGGGAGGGAGGGACAAAGAGAGACGGGGGAGGGCAATGGGACTACAATGTGTTTGTTCTAGAATTGTAAATGATTTTGAATGAGATAAGTATTATTATTTTTATTATTACTACCAAAACTCTTAAAGTTGAATTTAATAAAAATTAGTAAGTAAATTTATGATATTTACATAGGCAATACAAGGACATGCAAAACAGAGGTCCTTGGAGAGTAATTATATGAAAAATAAACTACATTTAATGAAAGAGAATTCAATTATCAAAGGAGAATCAATAAAAAAACTCAGATGAATTAGGGTTTCCATGGTTGAATTAAGATTTCAATAGGAAATCTTCAATTCAGTCCAGCTGAATTAGGGTTCCGATGGGAAATCTTCAATTCTGCTCAGCTGAATTAAGGTTCAGATATGAAATCTTCAATTCAGCCCAGGTGAATTAAGGTTTCCATAGGCAATCTTCAATTCAGCCCAGCTGAATTAAAATTTTTCTAGGAAATCTTCATTTCAGCCTGACTGAGTTAAGGTTTGCACAGGAAATCTGCAATTCAGCCCAGCTGAATTAAGGTTTTCATAAGAAATCTTCAATTCAGCCTGGCTGAATTTAGGTTTCCATGGGAAATCTTCAATTCAGCCTGGCTGAATTAAAGTTTCCATAGGAAATCTTCAATTCAGCCCAGCTGAATTAAGGTTTCCTTAAGAAATCTTCAATTCAGCCTGGCTGAATTAAGGTTTCCATAGGAAATCTTCAATTCAGCCTGGCTGAATTAAGGTTTCCATAGGAAATCTTCAATTCAGCCTGGCTGAATTAAGGTTTCCATAGGAAATCTTCAATTCAGCCTGGCTGAATTAAGGTTTCCATAGGAAATCTTTAATTTCAATTCAGCCTGGCTGAATTAAGGTTTCCATAGGAAATCTTCAATTCAGCCTGGCTGAATTAAGGTTTCCATAGGAAATCTTCAATTCAGCCTGGCTGAATTAAGGTTTCCATAGGAAATCTTCAATTCAGCCTGGCTGAATTAAGGTTTCCATAGGAAATCTTCAATTCAGCCTGGCTGAATTAAGGTTTCCATAGGAAATCTTCAATTCAGCCTGGCTGAATTAAGGTTTCCATAGGAAATCTTCAATTCAGCCTGGCTGAATTAAGGTTTCCATAGGAAATCTTCAATTCAGCCTGGCTGAATTAAGGTTTCCATAGGAAATCTTCAATTCAGCCTGGCTGAATTAAGGTTTCCATAGGAAATCTTCAATTCAGCCTGGCTGAATTAAGGTTTCCATAGGAAATCTTCAATTCAGCATGGCTGAATTAGGATTTTCATATGAATTCTTCATTTCAGCACATCTAAATTAATGTTTCCATAGGAAATTTGCAATTCAGCCGGGCTGGATGAAGGTTTATATAGGAAATCTTCAATTCAGCCCAGCTGAATTAAAATTTTTATAGGAAATCTTCATTTCAGCCTAGCTGAATAAAGGTTTGCACAGGAAATCTGCAATTCAGCCCAGCTGAATTAAGGTTTTCATAAGAAATCTTCAATTCAGTCCAGCTGAATCAAGGTTTCTATAGGAAATCTTCAATTTAGCCCAGCTGAGTTAAGGTTTCTATAGAAAATCTCTAATTCAGCCCAGCTGAATTAAGATTTCCATAAAAAAATCTTCAATTCAGCCCAGCTGAATTATGATTTCCATAGGAAATCTTCAATTTAGCCCAGCTGAATTAAAATTGTTATAGGAAATCTTCATTTCAGCCTGGCTGAATTAAGGTTTCGAAGGGATTCCATCAATTCAGGCCAGCTGAATTAAAGTTTTTGATGAGAAATCTTCAATTCAGCTGAGCTGAATAAGATTTCTGTCGCTAAATTGTCAATTTTTTATATTATTTGTTAATCCATTTTGCTTTCTATCAAACATTTAACTCCTAACCATTTATTTGATTAACATCTATTATAATTTAATAACCCCAAGAGGGGTATGGATGAAAGGCAGCCCAGCATGTGTACCCATGTCGGGTTGCCTTACATACATAAATGCCCAAGGACATTTGTTAATATGAACATTTTCGAATCTTGTTTTTATTCTTCTTCTTCTTTGTCTGATTTTTGTCATATTGTCCCGTCTCGTCTCAATTGCTGAAATTGTCTTGCGGACTTTAGGGTTGTGTGGCCGTTCTTAGCCTGACTTGGATTATAAGTCTGACAATATTTGGCTTTTTGGTTTTACCCAAAGGTAAGTAAATATTGAATGCGTAAATGAGAGTGTGTGTGTGTATGGCAAATGGCTAAGAGGTCAAAGGTTAAGCAATGAAGTCAAGCATTTGAATACACAGCAATTAAATAAGGTCGCAAATCTCGAGAGGAGTGAGAAAGAAACTGCCAAATGCCCCCCTCACCTTGGGAGCGTATGAATGTTGTCAACATGTATACGCTCCCATGGTGCTGGAACTAATTACTCCCGCCTGAGGCCATACATTTTTATATTAAATTCCTACGTTCAAATATTTTTAAATATTTCGTTTCCCCACCTTCTTCTCTCTTTCACATATAGGCTACTATTTCAATAATACCGGCCTAATGGCCTGCGAGCCATTTTACAGCAAGGCCTCATATCGTATATTGGCCACATGTGGTTTTTATTTCCCCACCACCATGGTGCTAATGTACTGCTACGGTTCGAGTTTTCATATGAGCCGTTTTGCACCCAACGAAGCTACGATGCCGCTGTCAGCGGCCCTGCAACATCCAGCCTATCAGCAACAACAACAGCACCATCAGCAGCAGTTACAGCAGCAGCAACAACAACAGCATCCACCCTATTATCATCCGTATCACTCACACATGCATATGATGCATCCTCATAGTCAACATCAGCAGCAGCAGATGCAACAACAGCATCAGCAGTTACAACAACATCATCAGCTGCGAAGAGGAGACAGTGCTGGTAGTGGTGGAGGAGCCAGTACTGTGGCAACGCCATCCAGTGTGGATGGTAATACTCCCATGGGCTGTATGAACACACCCACAACAATGCTGCCGAATACACCGGTAATGAACCTCAGCATGGCCATGAGTATGGGCATGGGTTTCACGGGGAATACCATAACGAAAAAGGTGAGGGAATACAAAAAACGAAATAAAATAATTAATTCAGCCAAGCTGAATTGAAGATTTCCTATGGAAAGCTTAATTCAGTCGGGCTGAATTGAAGATTTCCTATGTGGAATTGAAGATTTCCTGGGCTAAATTGAAGATTTTCCATGGAAACCTTAATTCAGCTGGGCTGAATTGAAGATTTTCTATGGAAACATTAATTCAGCGGGGCTGAATTGAAAATTTCCCATCGGAACCTTAATTCAGCTGGGCTGAATTGTAGATTTCCTATAGAAAGCTTAATTCAGCCAGGCTGAAATTAAGATTTCCAATAGAAACCTTAACTCAACCAAGCTGAATTGAAGATTTCCCATCGGAATCTTAATTCATCTGCGCTGAATTGAAGATTTCCTGTCGGAACCTTAATTCAGCCGGGCTGAATTCAAGATTTCCTATCGGAACCTTAATTCAGCTGGGCTGAATTGAAGATTTCCTATCAAAACCTTAATTCAGCCAGGCTGAATTGAAGCTTTCCTATCGGAACCTTAATTCAGCCGGGCTGAATTGAAGATATCCTATCGGAACCTTAATTCAGCCGGGCTGAATTGAAGATTTCATATCGGAACCTTAATTCAGCCAGGCTGAATTGAAGATTTCCTATCGGAACCTTAATTGAGCTGGGCTGAATTGAAGATTTCCTATCGGAACCTTAATTCAGCTGGGCTGAATTGAAGATTTCTTATCGGAACCTTAATTCAGCTGAGCTGAATTGCAGATTTTGTCAGGAAAATTTAATTCAGCTAGGCTGATATTTTTCCTTGGCTACCAAATTCCATTATTAAATGACAATTGACATCAAAGCCAGCCGCACATTTACTTAATTAACATTTCATCGTATTTTGTCCCTCTATCCCCCTCCTTCTTCTGATTTTTTTATTAATTTAATGGAAATTTGTTTTGTTTGTTGCTGTGTATTGTGTGGCCTGTTTGCAGATTGCCCCGCCACCGACCAGAGAAAAGAAATCAAGTGGAGCCACATCACGTTCCATGGCAGCCATTTCATTGGGCTTCATTGTTATGGTTACACCCTGGACAATACAGGAGATTGTGGCAACATGTACCGGGTCAAAGGCAAGTAGTTAACCCCTAAAACTATGCAATATATATAATAAAAAATACAAAAAAAAAAAACAGAAATGCTAACAAAGCAAAGATGCTATTCAATATTGGTTACAGAACAAAAAATAAAAATGGGAAGGTGGGGAGAGAGAGCATACCGTCTCTCCACCTTTCCCGAACTGGAGTAATTAATTTGTGCTGATGTTTTTTTCCTGTTTTCTCTTCTCGTTGCTTCTTTTTTACAGCTACCTCCCTTTTTGGACTTTGTGGTCACCTGGACAGCCTTAAGCAATAGTTTTTGGAATCCCTTCATTTATTGGCTGCTAAATGATGACTTTAGGCGCATTAGCAAAAAGGTCATGACTCCTTGGAGGGTAAGTCCTTGTTTTATGTTTTATTTCGTTACAATTAGAGGGTCCTCTTTTCGCTTCGGTTTGTATCCTTTTGGATTATTACAAATGTGTTGAATGTAGCATTGGAGCCACGACCATGCATGCATGTGTCTGGCATTTCTAATGGATTTTTATTTAGCCGTTTATGTGCTGATCATTTATAAGGATTAAATATAATTTATTGGGACCCATATGTGAATCCCAAAAATGAAATTTGGGAGATGGGTGGGGAGCATTATTAAATTAGGACACTGAGTGGAAAGGATAAAGTGAGAAAAGGGACAAATCTTTAAAACTCAATGAGGTACTAACACAAATATGAAAAGTAAAAAAATAACCTGGGCTGAATTAATTTCCTATAGAAACGTTATTTCAGCTGGGCTGAATTGAAGATTTCCTATAGAAACATTAATTCAGCTAAGCTGATTTTAAGATTTCCTATATAAACCTCAATTCAGCTAAGCTGAATTGAAGAGTTCCAATAGAAACCTTAATTCAGCTGGGCTGAATTGAAGATTTCCTATAAAAACCTTAATTCAGCCAGGCTGAATTGAAGATTTCCTATAGAAACCTTTATTCTGCTGGGCTGAATTGAAGATTTCCTATAGAAACCTTAATTCAGCTGGGCTGAATTGAAGATTTCCTATAGAAACCTTAATTCAGCTGGGCTGAATTGAAGATTTCCTATAGAAAGCTTAATTCCGCTGGGCTGAATTGAAGATTTCCTATAGAAAGCTTAATTCAGCCAGGCTGAATTGAAGATTTCCTATAGAAACCTTAATTCAGCCAGCTGGGCTGAATTGAAGATTTCTTATAGAAACCTTAATTCAGCTGGGCTGAATTGAAGATTTTCTATAGAAACCTTAATTCAGCTAGGCTGTATTGAAGATTTCCTATAGAAATCTTAATTCAGCTATACTGAATTGAAGATTTCCTATAGAAATCTTAATTCAGCTATACTGAATTGACGATTTCCTATAGAAACCTTAATTCAGCTGGACTGAATTGAAGATTTCCTTCCAAAAATCTAATTCAGCTCGGCTGTATTGAATATATCATGGCGGAAACCTAATTCAGCTAAGCTGAATTGTTGATTTCCTATGTTAACTCTAATTCAGCTAACAAAATTTGTAGTTACAACATGATTACCAAAAACATTTACTTGTTTGTAATTTAAATTCCGTTTATGTTGCTGTCCTTGTCGAATGAAAAAAAAACACAAACAAATGTCCACAGTCCTTTTACGTGCCTGATTAGCTTTGCCAGGAACTTATAAGAACTTGGAAGAAATACCAACATGGGGTGAAATAGACAAAGGGAAATAAATCAAAATATTTTTGTTGGTGGTGGTGGAGGTCGGGATGCTAAACCTCTTATTTACTTCCAATTGTCCTTAAGGATGGTTATTTTTTTCATTGAGGTTATGTTGTTGAATGTTTCTTTTGCAATTTTCATTTAAATGTTATTGTTCATTTTTTTGTCCGAGGAGAGAAGGGAGGGGATTCATTGTTAGAATATGAATGAACTGTTTGATTTGTTGTTTTTAGCCACACTCCGATTTTTTCCACTTTTTTCTCGCCATAAAAAGGAATTTCCTACTCTCTGTTTCTTTACTCCAAAGGTCCTGATGTCCTGTGGTGTTTTAGTTTTCCTTTTTCTTCTTTGATTTCACACTTCCAGAGAATAGAGTAGAGTAGACAGTGCTAAAAGCTTTTTGTATTGAGTTATTGAATTGAAATCTAATTCAATATTTTTGTTTTACTTTGAAAAAATTGAAGAAAAAGGGTTGGCCAAGGACAAATCTCTTTCAAAAAGATGAAGGCATCAAAGTTGGTTTGATTCAATTAAGGAGAGAGTGGGAGAAAAAACAAATATTTCATAAATTTATTGGAAGGAATTGATTGTTTGAGAGGATTTTAAGGAAACAAGTTGGATAAAACTCTAATTCAGCTGAACTGAATTGCAGATTTCCTATAAAAACCTTAATTCAGCTGGGCTGAATTGAAGATTTCCTATAGAAACTTTAATTCAGCTGGGCTGTATTGAAAATTTCCTATAGAAACCTTAATTCAGCTGGGCTGAAAGAGATTTCCTATGGAAACCTTAATTCAGCTGGGCTGAATTGATGATTTCCTATAGAAACCTTAATTCAGCTGGGCTGAATTGAAGATTTCCTATAGAAACCTTAATTCAGCTGGGCTGAATTGAAGATTTCCTATAGAAACCTTAATTCAGCTGGGCTGAATTGAAGATTTCCTATAGAAACCTTAATTCAGCTGGGCTGAATTGAAGATTTCCTATAGAAACCTTAATCCAGCTGGGCTGAATTGAAGATTTCCTATAGAAACCTTAATTCAGCTGGGCTGAATTGAAGATTTCCTATAGAAACGTTAATTCAGCTGGGCTGAATTGAAGATTTCCTTTAGAAACGTGAATTCAGGTGGGTTGAATTGAAGATTTCCTGTAGAAATCTTAATTCAGCTGAGCTGAATTGCAGATTTCCTTTGGAAACCCTAATTCAGCTGGGGTGAATTGAAGATTTCCTATAGAAACCTTAATTCAGCTGGGGTGAATGCAGATTTCATAAGAAAAATTTAATTCAGCCAAGCTGAATTGAAGATTTCCTAAGAAAATCTCAATTTTGCTTATCTAAATTATGGATATCGATACGAAAACCTAATTCAGCTTAGCTGAATTGCAGATTCCCTCTGAAATACTTTCTGAATTGATGTTTCCTTACAGAATATGTTATTTATGTGCTGTTAATGAAGTCTCTTGTTAACTTATTATCCTCTGTTCGCTAATTTATATCCTTTACATCCCACTTATTCGTCTTCTTCTTCTAACTTTACAGTGTAAGCGTCAAGAAGATACGCCGGAAAGTAAATCACCCTGTTGTCACATAAATTCCGATTTAGAAATCACCACATTACCAATGCCACCCGAACCACCCACCTCACGACCACCACAAAACAGCGGTGGCAGTGGTGGCGGCGGAGGCGGTGGTTCCATCATCGGTGGCAAAGGTCATCTGTCATCGGGCAAAACAGCCTCCATGCTGGGCATCTGTGCCCGTGGCCGCAGCAACAGCCTTAATCGCAGCTCTTCGTTTCACATCAAGAGCGGCCTGCATCACACCCACCATACCCACCATATGCGTCCCGACATCGAAGGTCTCTCCGAGAAGTATTGGGGAGAAATTCTCGAACGTACCGTCAGCTCCAATAGCCTGCATGCAGCCATGCAAAAGTCAGCCTATGGTTCGGCTGCGATGCACGCCTATCATCATGCCTACCATCCCACACCGACACCGGTCAGCAACACCATGACAACGTCGTTCAGCAAGCACAGCGATCTAAATCTTCATATAACGGAACAGGATGATGTCTTGGTCGAGTCGGGTAATACTGGGATGCCGGTTAGTGATCTCAATAAATTCTCCACATCCGAACCGAAGCTGTATCAGCCGCCACAACATGCCGACGAAGCTGATTATGAGCATGATGAGGCCACACATTGTGCCAAGACGAAAGCCAATACGGAGGCCAATCGTAGCCTGGGTGTGACCAGCAGTGCTGGTGGAGGACGTACCACCCTGCCGGATATTTAGTACGCAGAGGATGTGATACAAGCAAATTCGAAGTCCCAAAATGCTTGTAAAGTGGCGATGGCATCGAGTGGAGGTGGGGCTGGGTTGACTGGTGATGGCTGTGCGGTTAATAAGTTCTTAACCATTTCCCGCAATCCCTGCCACAACTCACTGCAGTCCCAGGCGGCGGTGACGGCATCTTTTATGCCTCACTTACGCAAATCGGCCACATTGACACGTTCGCGTCCCCGGCCATCGATGATGATGATGCCCTGTCTGCGTCACAGTAAATTTCTGAGTAGGAGTGCCATTTTAACAACAACTGCCGCTGGCAGCAACAACAACTCCTTCACACACCCCTCCTCTTCCGTGGTGTGTGGGAGTCACTACACTGGAACACCGACGCCAATACCACCGAAATTTGTGGCCATTGCTGTGCCTTTGGCTGAGTATCGAAAATGAAATATAACTTCGTTGACAGCCATGACTTTTGGACAACCCAAGGCCTCATCTTCATGCTCCGCATACTCCTCCTCGGTCATGTCTCAATAGAATCTGCAAATGTTTATTCAAGTATTTTATTGTTGTTGGTGTTGTTGTAATTGGGACACATGAAATCTGGGTGCAGACAAAATTTCTTCTTCGTTTGCATATCCTGGCTGTCCGGTCTGTCTCTTCCATTTGTTTTCAGCCCCCTCCCGGGTTTTGTTTATTTGTTGCCGAGTTGTTTATCTTGGTTTGATGAACAGATGGTCGTGAAAAATGGACTCAGCGATGAATGGATGTTTGGGATGGAATGCACTGACTGCTGTGGACATGCTGATGTTTTCCAGTTGTCGGAATATTTTTGATTCCTTCTTTGTCATATTATTCTGTAAATATGTATGTAATATATAAATGTAGAAGGGAAATGGACGACAAATAAGAAAACGATGAAGGAATCCTGTAACAATGTAAGTGTATAGATAATTAAGTGTGTATAGATGTATGTGTGTGTGACTTGTTTATAGGCCTAGAAATGTAAGTGTGTGTGATTTAAAAACTTAACCAATATTTTAGAAACTTCTAGGGGGCACATAAGTGGAGATGTATTAGGGTGGGTACAGATTTTTTTAATTTATGAATATTTGTCCATGAAAATCTTCACTTCATCAATTCAGCCTTGCTGAATTAAGGTTTGCATAGTAAATCTTCAATTCAGCCCAGCTGAATTAATGTTTTCATAGGAAATTTTCAATTCAGCCCAGCTGAATTAAGGTTTGCATAGTAAATCTTGAATTCATATAGGAAATTTTCAATTCAGCCCAGCTGAATTAAGGTTTGCATAGTAAATCTTGAATTCAGCCCCGCTGAATTAAGGTTTCCATAGGAAATTTTCAATTCAGCCCAGCTGAATTAAGGTTTCCATAGGATATTTCCAATTCAGCCCAGCTGAATTAAGGTTTCCATAGGTATTTTTCAATTCAGCCAAGTTGAATTAAGGTTTATACCCGAAATCTCCAATTCAGCCCAGCTGAGTTAAGGTTTCCGTAGGAAATCTTCTATTTAGCCCAGCTGAATTGAATTGGAAATTTTCTATTCAGCACAGCTGAATTAAGGTTTCCATAGGAAATCATCAATTCTGTCCGGCTGAATTAAGGTTTCTATATGAAATCTCCAATTCAGCTCAGATGAATTAAGGTTTCCATGGGAAATCTCAGTTCAGCTCAGCTGAATTAAGGTATCCATAGGAAATCTGTAATTTAGCTTAGCTGAATAAAGTTTCCCTTGGGACACCTGAAATTTAACTTAGCTGAATTAAGGTTTCCATAGGAAATCTGCAATTTAGCTTAGCTGAATGAGGCTTCACTTGAAAAATCTGAAATTTAACTTAGCTGAATTGAGGTTACGATAGGAAATCTGAGTTTTAGCTTAGCTGAATTAGGTTTCCCTTTGGATATCTGAAATTTAACTTAGCTGAATTGAGGTTTCAATAGGAAATCTGCATTTTAGCTTCGCGGAATCAGGTTTCCTGTACAATATAAGGTTTCATTTGGGTAATCTGAAATTTAACTTAGCTGAATTGAGGTTACGATAGGAAATCTGACTTTTAGCTTAGCTGAATTAGGTTTCCCTTTGGATATCTGAAATTTAACTTAGCTGAATTGAGGTTTCAATAGGAAATCTGCATTTTAGCTTCGCGGAATCAGGTTTCCTGTACAATTCAGCTTGGCTGAATTGAGGTTATGATAGGAAATCTGCATTTTAGCTTAGCTGAATTAGGTTTCCCTTTGGATATCTGAAATTTAACTTAGCTGAATTGAGGTTTCGATAGGAAATCTGCATTTTAGCTTAGCGAAATCAGGTTTCCTGTACAATTCAGCTTAGCTGAATTGAGGTTACGATAAAAAATCTGCATTTTATCTTAGCTGAATTATGGTTTCTATAGGAAATCTGCAATTCCATTTAGCAGAATTGGTATTTGTACAATAAATCTGCAATTCAGCTTAGCTGAATTCGGTTTTCTTAATTCATGTGTATTTTTATTGAATTTGAATATCTCAAAAAAAAAAAAAAACTTCTCCCAAGCAAAATGTCATCATCAAACAGCCAAAAAATCGAAAATCTAATTGTATCTATTAAAAATAAAAATCAAAAACAATATATAGATAGTTAACATTAGCTATAAATAAAAAACAATATATGTGTATATTAAAAAATAATATATTAATAAAGAAATATTTTTTAAAATAAAAAAGTCTTGAAAAAGCCAAGGTTTCGTTTTGTTTTTATTTTCAATATTTCGATATAAAAAATAATGGAAAAATAAATCAATAAAAATTAGACCAGTCGATGTCGGTTATGTTATAATAAATTAATGAAAAAAATAATAATAATTTTATTAAAAATTTACCATTGTCGACTGATAGAAATATTTTGTAAAAAAATAAAATTTCATAAAAATAGTACTACAAGTAAATGTGTTTAAAAAAATATAAAAAAATAAATAAAATAATAATAATATAGAGTAAATGAATGAAAAACTAACAGTACTGCAGTTAAGTTAAATTTAACTAAACTAAATGTGCACTTAAAGATTAAAATGAAATAACAGACCATTATTTTTAAAAAAATAAAAAAAATTTTTAAAATATATTTTTATTTATATTTTATTTAAATATAAAATAGCATATATTTTTACATTTTTTCTGTAAATATTTTATAATTTTTTTATTTCCTTTCTAAATAATTTTTTTATAAACCATTTTTAATAATTATGTGCAAAAAATTTTTTGTTTTGAAAAAAAAATATCTAAAAGTAATCTTAACGAAAACCAAATCAAATCGATCTGAATCGAAACTAGTAAATACAGCATATACCAAAAATCAATGACAACAACAGCAACTAAATATAATGAAAACCCCAAAAAAGAAAAATAAAAAAAACATCAAAACTAGATTCTAAATGTTTAGCTATATATAGTTCAAAAAAATTAAAAAATTCTGTAATTTTAATTTTTATATATTTTTATTTTGATTTTTAAAAACCTAGTCTAGCATAGAATTATTTTAATAATTATGATGTGAAATTAAATGAAAAAAATATATAGTATAGAACAAATGTAATTGTAAACATATATGAATGGCCATAGATAAGATGATTATGGAAAAACAGAACAAAACAAATATGAAAACAAAAGAAATCAATAAAAATAAAAAGAAATGAAAATACATATTAAAATTATATGCTATAATATTTTTTACAAAAAATAATTAAGGTGAGTATTGAAAACTTCTAAGGTAAACAAAAACAAATTTTATTTATGAAATGAGAAAATACATGTGAGACATCATTTGAGGCGTATACGTACTGACAACACTCATACGCTCCTGCGTATTGGAAACAAATTCATTCAATAGCTTCTTTTCGGGTTGGCCAAACTACCAAAAATGTGGCGGGTGAATTTGTCATTGTTTTGCCTAGAAAAAAATATTATTTAAAAAATCCACGCCATAATTCGGTGTAGAAAAAAAATTATTATTTAAAAAAATCCACGTCTTATTTTGCCTAGAAAAAAAATGATCTTAAAAAATTCTGTTAGCTCACAGAGGGCTGAACAAAAAACTCTATAGAAATTCTCTGAGCCTACATCTGTAGGCCCAAAGGTTTTTTATAGAAATTTTGTGAGCCACAAATGGCTCAACACCAAACCGAAGGCTTTGGTGCAGTCACATCCTCCTATAGAGATGAAGAAGGAAACCTGGTGACAGATACAGACAGCGTGCTGAGGATCTGAAAGTACCATTTTATCAAATAGTAGCGGTGAAGAGGATATCCCAGAACCAATAATAGATGACGGTATAGAGTGTATACCAACTAGCCAAGATGAAGTCTACTATTCTGACTTCATCGGCTGAAGAATAATAAAGCAGCATGTGCCGATGGTTTACAAGCCGAACTATTCCAGACTGGTGGTCAGATGCTGATAAGGAGCATGCACCAGCTGATTAGTACAATTTGGCTAGAAGAATGCATGCCCAATGATTGGAACCTCAGCATCCTGTGTCCCGTGCATAATAAAGTTGACAAGACGATATGTGCCAACTATAGGGAAATAAATCTCCTCCCCATCGCATATAAAGTGCTATCCAGCGTACTGTGTGAACGACTAAAGCCAGTGGTCAATGACATTATTGGACCATACAAATGCGGCTTCAGACCTGGCAAATCCACAAATGACCACATTTTCACACTGCCCAAATCCTGTAAACGACTAACGGAAAAGACATCGAAACATTCCACCTATTCGTCGATTATAAAGCCGCATTCGACAGCCTTATTCATTCCGAGGTGTATAAAGCCATGTCTGTGTTTGGAATTTCTGCAAAATTAATACGGCTATGCACAAGATCAGCAGTTAAAGTCCGAATGGAGCCCCTTAATACCGAACGAGGATTCAGACAATGTGACAGTTAACATCCTGCTGGAAAAGGTCATACGAGAGGCAAAATTGAACTGAAATGGCACTCTGTACACCAAA